TTCATTCATGGCCTTCTTCCACTTCTTGTCTTTAGCAGCCTCTTCGTATATTATTGGATCACACTCCGTCGTTAAAAAAAATAAGGAGTAATCGAATGTTGTTCGCACGAGTTCCGTGGAATCATAAATATCATTTAGACTACGTAGGTTTTCGAGTGCTCCCCCGAATTGTTGCTACTCGTCGTCGCTTCCTAACGATGTTGATGGTGTCAATTCGGGTGTTATGGAAGTTGGACTTTGTGGAGGAGTCTAGTCATCACCTTGCTCATTTTGTATGTTGAAATCATCATCATTGTCATCATTAAAAAATAATCCTTTAACTTATTTATCCTCTTTGCTCCATCTCCAAGTATCCGCTTCATCGAACTCAACATCTCGTGAAATGATCACCTTCTTGGTCAAAGGATTGTACAATCTATATGTCTTACTCCGTTTCTCATAGCCAATAAAGATACATTTCTCTCCTTTATCATCTAACTTCTTTCTTTTTTGGTCGAAACATGGGCATATGCAATGCATCCAAAAATCCCGAGATATCCAACTGCAGAGCTTGCTACCGCTCCATGCTTCGTTAGGTGTTTTGAATTTTACACTTTTTGTTGGACATCGATTAAGTAAATAAACAACGACATAGAATGGCTTCAACCTCAAAAATTTCTCGGTAAGTGCTTTCCTTTCACCATGCTCCTTGCCATATCAAGAATTGTGCGATTCTTTCTTTCCGCAATGCCATTTTATTGTGGTGTATATGAGACTCGTTAGTCGATGAATGATTCTATTTTCTTTACGTAAACCTTCAAACAACTTTGAGGTGTACTCGCCTCCTCTATCAAATCTAAGTATCTTCAAATACCGCCCACTTTATTTTTCTCGCCATTGCTTTGAACTCTTTAAATTTATCAAGGGCTTCGATTTATCTTTAAGAATATACACCCAACTTTTTCTACTAAAATCATCGATAAAAGTAAGATAATACTCGTTTCCACCAAGTGATGGTATATCAAATGGACCAGCTATATCCGTGTGAACAATCTCCAAAGGCCTTCTAGCTCTCCATGATTTTCCAACTTCAAAACTGTGTCTATGTTGTTTTCCTTTAATGCAAGCTTCACATAATTGATCCGGTCGATTAATTTCCGGAAGTCCACTCACCATCTTTGCTCTCGATAATAACTTCAAGCTCGGTAAATCCAAGATGACCAAACCTTAGATGCCATAACCATGATTCGTCTTTAATGACAGACTCATGCACTTTAGCACTTCTATATGAATATCAAGTGCGAAAAGACGATTCTTTGTCATATCAACTTTAGCAATTAACTCTCCACTTCGTTGATGACGAGAGATCGATCCTTCGAGTGTATATCATACCCCTTTTCTAGGAGCCGGCCAAGGCCGATGATATTGCTTTTCAAAGCGAGTACATAATAAACATCATGTATATACATTTTTTCTCCATTTTTTAAGGTAATCATAAGCTTATCTTTGCTTTTAATCGGAATTTTTGATGAGTCATCAAAAGTAACTTCTCCTTGGATGGTTTCATCCAAATTTGTAAACAACTCCTTACAACCACACATATGGTTGTCGGCACCGTGTCGAGATACCAAACATTTTTCTTACACTCTCCATTTCCTCTATATGTTAAGAAAATGGTCGATTCAGACTTCTTTATCTTCTGTCGTCGCAAAATGATTTGTTTCCTCTATCCTTGGTGCTAATCTACATTCGTAATCGAGATGGCCATACTTGTTACAATTATAACATTGCAATTGTGATTTATCGCCTCGTTGTTGAAATCGCCTCTTCCTTGATTCCTAGATCCTCGACCATGACCATATATTTGATAGCCTTCATTTCCTTGGCTTCTTTCGAAGGAGTTTATGCTACGTCCTCGTCCACCACGTCCACCTCCGTAACCACCTCCGTAGTTACCTCCGTAGCCATCTTTGTAGCCACCTCCGTAGCTACCTCGATTTCCTCTACCTCGTCCACAACTCGCCGCTGGCTTGATTGTCACCAATATATAACTTGCTTTGCAAAGCTTGCTCCAAATTACCGGTATTTTCATTCCGGTTCATTCTCTCGCTCACGAGCTTCAAGAGAACCCACGAGCTCATCAATCGAGATTTGTGACAAATCTTTTGATTCTTCAATAAGCAGTAACGACATAATCAAATTTTCTTGTCAACGAACGTAAGAGTTTTTCCATCACTCTAACATCATCAAGAGTTTCTCCATTTCTTTTCATATCGTTTACCACCATTTTCGGACGAGTGACGTAATCATTGATTTTTTTAGAATTTTGCATTTTTAAGGTCTCAAATTTAGCTCGAGTGATTGGAGTCGTACCTTTTTAGCTTTTTCGACTCCTTGAAGAGATTTCTGCGAATCTCCCATGCCTCCTTTGACGTCTTGGCGTCCGATACTTTCTTAAACGTTGATTCATCAACTCCTTGGAAAATGAAAAACAAGGCCTTCTTATCCTTTTTGCATGATTCTTTAAGTGTCGTCTTATGTGCATTTGTTAAAGATGCTTCGACAGTAGCATCTTCGGGCTCGTATATCCTTCTTCAACAATCTCCCATAGATCGTGTGAACCGAGCGGAACCTTCATTTGGATGCTCCAGCTTTCCATAATTTGAATTTGTTAGTTTTGGGATTTGAGGCTAAATCATTTGGCCATCATCTTGCTTGAAAGGAAGACACGAACCCGACTCGATACCACTTGTTAGAAGCGTGTTGTGCTTTACTTCAAATGGAAATATATTGATGATATAGTGATTACAAAAGAACTCTCTTCTTTCTCAAAAATATTTTCTCAATAGATAGGTGTTACAACACTCAATTTTTTTTCTCTTAATAGCTGTTGCTATCTAAGTTTCTACTCTCTCTTTTCTCTTATGATCTCTCTCTTTTTTTTTTTTCATACATGTTTATTACAACAAACATAAGTTCCTATTTATCCACATGCTACACCGTCATTGAGGATTAATCTAGACAACTTATACATGACTTTTGACACCTTATATCTTGCTGGAATTGCAGACTTTACAGCTCATGTATTTCATAAATTCCACCGACTTTGACAGCCCAATTCTTACTGGAATTGCACCGACTTTTGACAGCTTATATAGCTGAAGTTTGCACCTCCTTTGACAGCAACTTGCACCACTTGTACAGCTCCTTTCTAGCTAATAAACATCCACTTAATCTGCACCTCCTCTACTTTACAACTCATGTCTAGGTAGCAAGTTAATGGTCTTACGAAATCGGGTTTGAATTCCAACATCGGGGACATAGAGGCGGCGGACAGCTCTGATTGGAGATTGACTTGTTCGCTTGTGAACGAATCAAAAATTTACTGTAGAGAAAAGGAGAAAGAAGATGTAATCAATTCATTGCTTACCACTTCAAATGATCTCTCTGTTTATGCTATTTGTGGGATGGGTGGAATTGGGAAGACAACACTTGCCCAATTAATCTACAATGAAGATAGGGTGAAGAGGCGATTTGATTTGAGGATGTGGGTGTGTGTTTCTAATGATTAGGACATAAGGAGGATGACAAGAGCTATGATAGAGTCTGTTGAAAACAGCCCTTGTGACGTTAAAGAGTTAGATCCCTTGCAGCGACGTCTCCAAGAGAATTTAAGTGGAAAAAGGTTTTTGCTTGTATTGGATGATGTGTGGGATGATTACCATGATAAGTGGAACAGTTTGAATGATTTACTAAGGTGTGGAGCTAAAGCTAGTGTCCTTGTAATAACTACCCGTATTGAGATGGTTGCTCTTAAAATGGAACCAGTTTCATGCCAGCAGATGGAAAGATTATCCGGCAATGATTCTTGGCTTTTGTTTGAGCGACTTGCGTTTGGGATGAGGAGGAGAGAGGAGTATGTCCACTTGGAGACAATTGGAAGGGCTATAGTTAAGAAGTGTGGTGGGATTCCTTTAGGTATAAAGGCACTAGGAAACCTGATGCGGTTGAAGAAAAATGAAGATGAGTGGTTAGGCGTCAAAGAAAGTGAGATTTGAGATCTACGACAAGAAGGAAGCACGATTTTACCTGCCTTGAGGTTAAGTTATGATAATCTACCTCCACACTTGAAGCAATGCTTTGCATTTTGTTCCATCTTCCATAAAGATTATGTCATGGAGAAGGACCGGGTCATAACTCTATGGATGGCAAATGGTTTTATTGCTTGCAAAGGGCAGATGGATCTGCATGGCATGGGCCATCAAATTTTCAATGAATTAGTTGGAAGGTCATTTTTTCAGGTTGTGAAGGACGATGGATTGGGAAACATAACATGTAAACTGCACGATCTCATCCATGATCTTGCACAATCCGTAAAGACACATGAATACCTTTTGATAGAGGGTAATTCAAAGATGCAAATTTCAGAAAAATTCGTCATGTAGCTTTTTATGGGAGACCGTGGCCTGCTCCTGATAACAAGAATCTCAAAGCTCAATCGTTGCACTCGTTTTTGGTTCCTCATGTTAATGCCAGCATAAAGCCTTGGAGTGATGATCTTCACCCCTACTTCTGTAGGCAGAAGTATCCAAGGGCCTTGGATATAAAGGTTACAAAATTGCCTGAGTCAATTTGTAATTTGAAACATCTAAGCTATTTAGATGTCTCTGGCTCCTTCATCCACAAACTAACTGAATCTACCAGTTCTCTTCAAAACTTGCAGACTCTGATTCTGAGAAATTGTATAGTCCTTCATATGTTACCGAAAGATATGAAGGACATGAAAAATCCCATGTATCTTGACATTACAGGTTGTGAAGAACTTCGGTCTATGCCTGCTGGAATGGGACAATTGACTTGCCTGCAAAAGCTCAGCATGTTCATTGTGGGCAAGCAAGATGGTCATAAAATCTCAACTTTATTCATAATTAAACTGTTTCCAAACGTACTTAGAAGGGATTAAAAAAAGTTTAATCCTTCTTAATTATGCTTCGAATCAAACGTACTCCCAAAAAACAAGATCAGAATTCACAGGGCATATGATAGGGGCAAAGTGGACACAAATGGCTAGTCCGCAACCACTGAACAATGCAACCGGAATGATAAACATGCCAGCACGGCATCCGGATAGCTTCGCTCCCTGCCTCAATCTCTTCCATGCACACCGTGCAGTCTCTAGCCGATCCTAAACCATCGAAAACCGTTCTTTCCAATGCATCAATAGAAGACTTGGTCGCCGGGATGGGCCGAGCTTCAACCTCCATAGACTCCCTCTCAGCTCTAGCTGTATCCTGATCTTCTTCTACATGAGGAAGAATAATTTCTTGCTGGTTCCACTCCAACATCTTGACCTCCATGTAGACGCCATCGTAAGAATCCATGCTCCGAGCCACAGATTCAATTTCTTGCAGCATATCTGATTGGTTATTTGCAGGAATTCCCATGACAGTCAAGATCTCTTTGAAATCTTGAATGTGATCGAGCAGTGAATGATCTGTAACAGGAAAGAAAGCAACTTTCTTGTTCATTAACCGAGGTCCTGATCTTCCTGGAGAATGCACCAATCTCTCACGAGATTGAATGAGAAGCTGGACCTTAGCGAGAAAGAACTTTACAGGGAACATTGCAGAGCTCTCGTGCAGGGATTCCTCAATAATGTGTTTTGGTTGTTGGTTTTCTTGTGGTAGTATTCGAACACGGCATTCATAATCAACGACAGTCGCCATGACTGAATTCAGAGAGGAAAAAGAAAAAAGACAGTAGGGTTTGTGACAAAACAAGAAACACAGATGGAAATTGTTTAGGGCTATTCGAAGACAGGATGACGGGTGGAAGAGTCTCTGGGTGTGTTTATTTATAGGTACGTAAGCCGAATGTCGGTTACGCATTATTATGGATTTGGACCACAGGCTTTCATCAGACCAACTACGTTTTTTTTTTTTTCGATTAGGATGTATGAACTTTTTGTAACATGCCAAAATCTTTTACTAATGATATTACTTTCTAATCAATAATTTTTTTTATATAGAAAAATATAATTTTATTGATACTGAAAATATTAAAGTCGTTACATTTTCTTATAAAAATCAAATAGAGATTACAAACATCATAAGTAATTGAAAAGGTTTAGGAGATATAATCATCTGTGATAGCCCAAAAAATATTATTGAAAAGGTGTTTATCCAAGGAAGAAAGAGAAAAAGAAAAAGCGGCTAGGGTTTTGTAAGCAATTAACTTTATTCATGTCATTTAATAATAGTCAATCAAATTATTAATGAGATTATACTTTTATTATAATCAATAACAATAATTCATTGATAAATATTTAGTAAATACAATTAAAAATCAAACACTTTTTTGTCTAAAGCAAAATTTAAAAAAAATTAAGGCACCTGTAGCTCCACTTTTATATAGAATTAAATTATATATATTAAAAATACATCTTCTATATCTTTCAATATATATATATATATATATATATATATATATATATATATATATATATATATATATATATATATATATCTTCTATACTCCAACCAATACGGATAAATTTTTTGGTTAACTCGTTAATTTAAATAAGTAATGACGACATTGATTTAAAATAGAAATTTTACCGGTAATTAAAAACATTACTTTTAAAGATTAAACTATAAATTAGTTCCTCTTTTTTGAAAAATGAATTAATTAGTCCTTCATTTTAAAAACTAATTATTTAGTCTTTATATGTTAAATGTACTTGTAACTTAGTTCTTTTTGCTCCTTTTCAATTTATTTTTATTTTTTGCTTCAAAAAATAAAAAATATGGTAATGTTTTTAAGAAGGTGGATGACTTAATTTGTTTCTTAAACCTAGAGGGACTAATTTATAATTTGCTCTGCTTTTGAAAGGTAGTTAAATTATTGAAAAATTGCGATAGAAATTTCACAAATAATGTTACTTTAAAAATGTGGGTCGCTCCAAACCCGTTCGTTACAAATTAGGTTCAAGTATGCAGTGACACGAATCCAAACCCGACCCGGTCCGATGCCATGTCTACTACCAGCTTGAAAGCTCTCAGTTCTCGGTAAGAATAGAGAAGCAAAGTAGATCACTTTGAAACTAGTCTGCACATGGAAAAATGGCTAAAAGACTGTGTTCCCAACTTTCTTCCCTTCAATTTGCCTTTAGAAACCCCAAAACCCATTTTCTACCCCAAACTTTTCTAAGGCAACTAGCTTTTTTCCTTCAATTGCTTATAATTTTTTTAGAAGCTGATATTAATGTTAAAATCTAAAAACCTCATTTTCCTTTTCTCTTGCAGAGTGGAAGCTCTTTCTAATTCTGTTACGTCAAGTTATTATTCAATTAGTCACATTTATAATCAAGGGTGTTCTCCAAGCTTCCAAGGTTAGCTTCTGCAAGTTCTTAAAGGTTCATTTTCCCTCTTCTGTTTGTTTTTTGTTTTCAGTTGCAGTGTCTGTCAAATGAATCTCAGAAGTTAATGAAAGTAATGGTAATTTACGAGTTGTGTTTTAGATGTTCATGGAAGTGCCGGTAATGCCGTCTATGTATTTGTAAAAAGTCCTCACAGAACCCATTTATTTGATTGTCATATGTCCTGTGCTGCAAGAATAAGGTTGCTCACTTCCATCTTTAACGGGTTTCTTTGAATTAAGGATTTGCTTGTCTTTGTTGAGAACAAATTCTTCTTTCCCTGGATTTGATGGTTAAGAAGCCGGAAAAGAGATGGTCATAATATTGGAATAGCTAATTTTTTTGTGAAGGGCATGGTTCAGTTATATTATTTTTCTATGAAATAGTATCGCAAGACTCAAGAGGATAGAAGTGTTTAAAGTAGATAGTATTTTGTTAAACAGCGAACCTGAAATATTAGTATGGAGGCAGTTACTGTTATTGTTGCAACGAGTTTGGTTTCTGCTGTTGGTCCATCAATATGTTACATGACATTATATTGGAATTTTTGCAGTGTCAAGATCATATGCTCGCAATAGGGATAGGGATTATGATCTTTTTGGCAGTCAAAAGCCAGGGGACGGGGAATTCCGGGAAACATGGAAAAAGGAGATGGATGAAGATTCTTGTTTATGGACAGGAAGTGAAGATGAAAGTGATGATGAGAACAGTTCTGATAAAGGTAAAAATCGTCTTGAAAAAGAGATTCAAAAGGTAAGGCAGCAGGCGAAGGAGCACTCAGACCTTATTGATGCTGATGACAGTGATGAGTTAAGAAGTGTATGGTCTGGGAGTGATGAGGAGAAGACTTTGTGGACTGGTGATGAATGTGATGACGAGGATGATATTCCTACAGAAGCACACCCAAACGAGGGCAGTGATAGGTATTTAGATAAATTGTTTGAGTTTGAGGAAAAACCGAAGTATCGGACGATCTCGGAACTATTGAAAGCAGAAAATGAACCAGAAGAGTTGTCCCCAGGGAAGCAAGCTAGGAAACTTGCAGTTGAGAATGCCTTGAAGAAATTAAAGAAAGGGCCAGATGGGCGTTACACCAATGTGTGGGAAGTCATGAGTGATATAGACATTCTAATTGGTGCATTTGAAAATATTGTTTCTGGACCAGAGTATGAGGAGCTTCGACAGGGAGGTCCTAAGAAATTGAATATGCAGTTTTTCAAGGATATACAAGCACGTATGAGAGATCCAAATTTCAAGTTCTCACCTGAGTTGAAGTTGAAACCAAAGAGCAAACTTGTTCCTAGAAAGAAATGGCAGAAGGCACAGTCAAGACGAAGAAAAGCACAGAGGCGTTAAGTTGCAGTTTCCTTTATTCAAAAATAAGAGTGAGATTACTTACCTGTACATGTTTGAATCTACTCTTTTTTTTTTGGCCATGTCCTGGATCTCTATATACTTTCCTTCCTTGTCCTGAAAGTTAGTGCAAAATCATACAAATGTTTTAGACCATTCATGGTTCTATGATTTCTACTTTGCCTTAAGCTTGATAACTGATCTATTTGATTCTAGATGCATTCTTGTGTTTGTAGCTTGACATATTATTTTTCAAATTTATTCCAAATTCTAGAAGTCATGAAAAACTTTCTCCTTTCTTTTGGTTTCTCACGTATTTAATGTATATCCTTGAGTTGAGTATGATTTAAAAAAAGTAAAATAAAAAATAAAAATCATTGATATATGCTTCTAAATCACGGTTCTTTTCCAAGGATTCATTCTAGCTTAATTTGTTTTACAATCAGTTATTTGCCTGGTATATTAGTTACCGAAGAAAAAGGCATTGCCAACAAAAATTGTCTGATTTTGTTTCAGAATTAAACCAAGATAACATTTGTAGTCAGGAAAATAATTTCCTGGGCAAACCTTTTTATTAAGCTGCCAAGAAGGAATCGAATTGTGATGCTGATTACAATATCAGCAGTTAGTGGCATCTTATATCATCTCATAGCGTTCCAAGTCATGCAATGACTATCTCAAATTTGGTAGATATATGTATGTTGCAATCAGCTGCTACTTGTTTCTTTTTAGGATCCAGGGTGAATAAAATTGTCTTTAGCTTCTGAGAGGTTGAATGAATAAAGCAATGGTTTCTTCTTAAAGGAGAACCAATTGGCATACAAATGAAAGTAATCTAAAGCAGAACCGTTCACAGGTTTGTACCTGTACTGCCACTTGAATAGTGAAGTGATGCACTGATGCTGAATACCTAAGAACCATTATTTTAAATTCTCAGTCCTTTGGCCCTGTATCTTTCCAAATAAACCCACCAATAACAGAGGAAATCGAAAACAGCTAGTAAACCACATATTAATTCTTTAAACGGAATAAGTTCAGTTGAATACATGAAAGCAAATGTGATACCATATGTTAATAAAAAAACATTACTTACTTACAGTAGATTCTTATCATATCATAAACTGCCTCTAATTCTATGTCCCCACCTTTTCAAAATAACCTAGGATATTTCTGTAGGTTACCCAGATATGTATTTGTTGTCTGGTTAGTAGTAAGGATATGGCATTGCATGGAAATGGTGGTAGTCAGTATAGGGAGGATATGTTGAAGAAGCATGATCCATCATGTAAGGTTGGTACATAAAAATGTCGTTTGTCATCATATCGCTGCCTGTATGTGGATCTTTCATGTAAATATTATGCATCTCTGTGGCTGGATGATCGTAGTGGTACCTTTGCTGCTTTTTGGTCATAATCATGGATGGTAGATACTTCTGTTCATAAGTGGGCATCCCATTAAAATCATGACCTCCTAATCCTACAAAACCAGTACCATTGCCTTGATAATCTTCACGACCCATCATATATGCAAAATCATGTCCCAATCTGCCACTACCAACAAAATTATCATCATCCATGTAAAAGTTTCTCATTCTTGTTGCTGCCATCAAATTCTGACCCCTCCCTGCATTCATATCTTTCAATGCTACATTCTGGTTTTGATAGTCTCCATAGCTCATCATATTATCAGTCTCATTGTTAGTGGATGCTGGATACATGAATTGGTTTTGAGGGGCATTGAAGTTATTGGCTAGAAACTGCAGTTGGTTTGAGTTGGGTTGTTCTTGATTGAGTTTTTTCTTAGGACTTGGATGCCATAGCTCTGCACGTTTACCAGATTTGACTAGTTTCTTGATTAGAGTAGCAGAATCTACGCGGCCTGAAACTAGGACCAGCTGGTGCTCTGTCTTTATGTTCACTGTATAAACACCTGAATACAAGGCCAAACACTTCAGTCTATTAGAAACTGTAGGAGGAAAAGAAGAGAGAATCTTAGCAGAGAGACACATACAATAGACCATTTTACTGAAAGCCAGAATTAGATCATGGTTACTGGGTTTTACTTTCAAGATCATGCTAAAACACACTAGTAAAAAGGATTCTATAAATTGGAAAAATCATCGGATATAAGCACAACTTTTTGCCAACACTAACATATTACCCCAACAGTAAAGAGGAGATTTACTGGTAAAGTTATTTGCTGTAATCATAAGACTTACTGCAATAAAAGTAAAAAATGAAAGTAGTACTAATGATGATGAGAAGTTAAAAGGCAAGACTAAAAATACTCTTACCGTCAATTTTTTTGAGAAGTTTTCTCACTTTCTGCTTGCACCCTTCACAGTTAATGTGCACTTTGAGAAAATGTGTCTGTCAAAAAAAAAAAAAAAACAAACCCAGGTTAAAGGAAGCAAATTTAGTGGCAACTAAAGGCAAAAGTAGAGGGAATGTTGTTAGTACAGGCAGACCTCAATCTTTAGGAGCTGACGATTGCCATTTCTTAACATTTTCAACTTTCGAGAGTCCTTCACAAAGAAAAGAAAAGAAAAGAAATGTATCAGTAGATTCTTCCTATTGCTCTGCAGTTTCTAAGGTGTTTACTTTATCCTCTATACGAGGCCACTTGTGATTTGTGAAGGGTTTTATGCAAAGAAACAACGAAACACTTGTGTGTACGTAGAGCAAGCACATAAACAAGTTGCCCAATAAAGAGAAATCTGCGTGAACCAGAAAGTTGGTCTGAAAAGTGTGATTTGACTAGGCTCATAAAATTGACATTTTTTGACTGGCAGAATCTGCATGCCATTGGTTTTTATTCAGAAGAAGTATACAACCTGCAGTTGCATTATTGCATATTGTCACGAGATCTAATTCCAAACCAATTAGTTCGGAGAAAAAAGGAAAAACATACCCCTTGTTTTTCATAACTATCTTATATGTTGTAGGAATATTGATTTAATAAAACCAAAAGACAGTTCATGTACTAATTTTCTCTTGGCTTGACACTCATTTTCTTGTAACCAAAAAAGAAAGAAAAAAACTGTGGTAACTTTTAGATTATTATTAATATTGTGGAGAATATGTTTTCCCCATGTTAACATTGGTGAGGTGGTTTGTGCTTGTAAATTAATTTAGACATGGACATTATGATTATTAAACTAGAAGGATCATAGTTTTAAATAACGATCATTACGTTATATAAAAATTATTATGTAATGATTTCAAAACATCTCGTTATTATTATTTTAATATTATAATAAATTATGATTCGTAATAATAACCATAATCCTTTTTTAACTCTGTCCGTCATTTAAAATTATTAGAAGACTTATAGGAACCCTTAAGAGTGGCTGGAATGAACTCTTGTGACTTGGGGCAAAATCGAAGTGGGGTGACCTTTCTTTCCTTTACAGCTAAGTTACGTTTTCTTTTTTGTTATTTTTATCCGTATTTGATCGTTCTGTGCAGTTCTGATTTCAAATCATGTAAGACATGGAACAGACCACATAGAAGGCAGTGTCAACGTGAACACTTCTGTGCATTTGATGGAGATATTTAGATGCAGACTGTCACGTTTGCAGACTATCCATAACGTACGGTCTTAGCAGAACGACGATTTTATTTCAATGTCCTTTCTACCGAAGTCCAAAGTTTGATGGTTCTGAAATGGATTAGTGTCCGAAATGGAAAATTGGTCTTAATCAGGAACTAGAATCAGATTCCTTTTAGACTTGCAGTCTACGGTATCCAATATTAGACAAAGGTTTCTAACTTTTCAAGAAGTTTAAAGTGGTTATACTGATAATTGAATTTGAATAAAATAATAAATTTAATAACACTAATGACTAGCGATATTATAATAAGGTTAAGAAAAGCTAATCTTTTCCTAAACTATAATTCATTTAAAAATCAATTTTTTAATTTTTAATTTGTGTTTTTGCCTTTCTGAACTTTTTTTTTTTTTTTTGAAATTTAGTTCATTTTATAATTTTCAACTATTACATCTTTCCTCTAAAAATTTAATCCTTTATATTTTGATTTGAAGTTTTGCACACATTTTGGGAAAACACCAATCTATTTTCTAAAATAATTTTTCAAGATCAGAAATTCAATTTATTTATTTTTAATATAGAAAACCAAAAAAAAAATAGAAAATAATTCGAAATGATTTCAAATTTTTTAAAGAGCTCCAATAAATCTCATAAAATAATCTGCATCAAGAAACTATTTATGTAATTGTTATTTAGGAAATATTGCAAGACAATCAAATAACAATGAAATAGATTCAAAATAATCCTATAAAAATCCGTTCATAATGCTATAAAAGCAAAAAACTAGAAGGGTCAAAATTCTTGAGAAAATGAATATTTCGAGAATTTGTTCCGGGCCCATCAAAGTGGGAGAAGACCTCCGGGCCCAGAGCCTTTAATGGGCCATCTAAAAATTCCAGTGGGCCCCTTCTGTAAAAAATTAGGGCCCGACACAATTAACTGATTTAATTAAAATCATAAGCAAAGAAATAAATTAGTAAAATAAAAAATTTAAGCTCAAAATTCGAATTTGGAAAGATGAGCTAAAAGCTTCTTGGTATCTCCTATGAAGATAATTTTCAAAAGGTAAAAGTTGATCGTAAGGAGCATGGTTGGTTCTTGGGCCCTTCCGTGGCCTAATTTGGCCTAATTTCAAACATAATATATATATCCTTTTCCTTTTCAATGTCTAAAAGGACCACGCAACGATCCACATTTTAGCTGGATGGAACTAACTTCCTTTTCTTTCAATCAGAATATTGGGGGGTGAAAGGCAATTATGACTTCCTTTACTTAATAATTAATTAATGATAGGTTATGCTTTATTTTATGATTTGAAAAGAAATAATTGCAGGAGAGACTAGTGGTGCCATTCACGCAAGCAGTTTCGTGGGGTCAAAGGAAAATGCAAGGAGAAGACATAATGGCCCAACTCCGACACATTAAAAACTTTTTGGGTAATTGACCTACGAATTTGGAGATTTTGAGATACCAATCTCGAGCATATTTTCAAGTTGTGGGGGGTATTTGTGAGTGTGTTTGAACCATTACAATCTTTCGATTTAAGAGCACGCACGTTACAACAGTTCTTAGACCGGCAAAAATAATATCATGTTGTTAGAAAAAAAAATCCATATTAGACAATAGAGCATTAGTAAAATAAATAAATAAAAATAAAATTAATCTATTATTAGGAGATTGGCATGAAATGTAATCATTTATGATTTGTGGGGAAAAAAAAACTTATAGAATATATGGTAAAAATGTTTCTTCTCTAGATGATGTGATTAGATGGATTTGTCAAATTATTCGTTGGAGTTTACACAATTCTAAATTTTTAAATAAATCAATACTTAGTTTAACATTTGAGTCTATTTATATACATGATATATATTTAAGTGATGGAGTGACGATTAATTATGATATTAATATTAAATGATGATGTGAAAAATTAGTGATAATGTGACACTAATGACATACAAAAACATATTTGGGGGAAACCTTCCTCTATTTCTCTTTTTTTTTTTTACTTTTTTTGGAAAATATAAAATGCAATTACAAAATAACCTAACATAAACTAATAACTTAATAATTATCTTCTAATATAACCTAAATAAAAAAATAATAATTGTATTTTATATTTTTCAAAAAAGTAAAAAAAACAAAGAAGAAGAAGGAATTTTCCATTTTTTTTTATAGAAAATTAGAACCATAATTTATAATAGTAGCCTTAATTTTGTTATATTTGTGGTACGTATTCTAACAATACATTAATTTTATTTCATTCCTATTAAAATTATCATGAAAAAATTATCCTTATTAACTGAAAAAAAAAAAAAGAGAGAGATAGTTCGTATTAGATTTATCATAAAAAAAATATTTTTATGAAATTAAACGGATATAAAATGTAAAACCAAAGTAGTTTTAAAGTTTTACCTTGCTAAAAGCACATTTATTTTATTTTTATTTTTTGAAAAGGAAAAAAAATCACTACCAAAAAAAAATGAATTAGTAACGGATTGTTTTCTCGTCGTTAAATATTACAAAATAATATTTTTTACGACGATTTAGTGACAGATTGACTAGAGATACTTAGAGACAGCTTAAAAATCCATCGCTAAATAAGGCGGGAAAAAAACGTCAAAATCAACGACGGATTAGAGACGAAAATTCGCTCATTAAATATAAAATTAGCGATTGAATTTAGTCCATCATTAAATAGCGACGGACGGAGTCCGTTGCTAGCTCTCGAGAGGAAATTTCCACCCGAATGTTAGCGACGGAAAGCTATTCCGTCTCTAATTAGCAATAAACTAGGTCCATCGCCGATGGGAGGGGGGAATAATCAACGACGGGTCGGTTGGTCCATCGCTAATAAACGACGGACGACGTCCATCACCGATTAGGAGGGAAAATTTCCCCCCATTCAGCAACGGATTCGAATCCATCACTATTTTGCTTATATATAGCAGCCTCCCTCCTACTTCTTCATTTGTTTCCCTCACCTCCACTACACCTCCCTTTCCGGCCCCGACCAAAAAAAAACGGCCACCCATGTCGCCCCACGGTACTAAATTTTTTTCCAAAGCATTCAACAAAGTAAGGGGTATCTTTCTTCCTCAAAATCGAATTAAATCTATGCTATATATACTTGATCTATCGGGTAAAAATTTCTCTCTCTAACTTTTTTTTAAAGTTAGATAAATGTTACATATTTTTAGTTAAATTTTGTTATTTATTAGTTTATTAATTGTTTGAATGTTGTTAATTACCTTGTTATGTTAATTTGTATGCGGTAGTTTAAATTTGTTAGTTTTTATTTTATTTTTATAATCTGTTAGATTTATTTTTCTAAGTTTTAGTTTTTTGTTATTTTAGTTGTTAGGTTAATTTTTATGTTAACGTAAAGCTTAAAAATATAAATTTTGTTAATTTTCAGTTGTTAGATTAAAATTTAATTTTTTAATCTTAAATTGTTAGTCTGATTAATTGAATTAATTATATACTTATTTGTTTTTAGTGTTATAGGTTAATTTGCTTAGTTGGTTGCTTAAATTTAATTTTGAAATTATATTATTTTGACGTAGTTTAGTAAATTCAAATGTAAATTTTATAAGTAATTTTATTATTTTAATTATTAAAATTAAAATAATATAACATGTATAATGATTTGATAGGATCGAAAAACAATTGAAAAAAATATAATTAAAAAATTAAAATAAATGTTAAAAATTTTATAAATATTTTATTAATTGATAGAATTAAATAAATATTTTAGTTGAATATTTTTTAAAATTATTTAGGTGATAATGTAAATTAACATTTTTTTGGTTCATAAAGTATAAAATTTTATGTATTTTAAGTGAAAATGATAATGTAATTACTTAAATAACTTTAAAAATTTTAAAATTATAGAAATATTTAGATAATTAAGAGAATTAAATAAATATTTTAGTTGAATGTTTTCATAAATTATTTAGTTCATAATGTAATTTAACGTGTTTTGGTTAAAAAAGTATAAAATTTCATGTATTTTAAATGAAAATGATAATGTAATTACCTTAAATTACCTAAGGTAGTTTAAATTAGGTTAATTGTTTTGTTTGGGTTAACTTAACATTATTATATATTGCGCTTAAGGTTGAAAATTTTTTAAAATTATCCAAAAAATTATTGAATATTAAGAAATTAAGTATTTATTACAAAAATGTAATCATTCTTTATATAATTATTTAAACAGGAAGTAAAATTCGAAAAAAAAATTAATAACTAATTACGGATAATTATATAACTAATATAATTGTTTAATATTTGTTTAAAATACTTCAAAATGATGACAAATAATTGTTTGCAATGGTTCCGCTATTTTTGTAGTAATTTAAAAAGGAAGACCTAATTGACAATGGATGAATTTTAGAGTCGTAAACGGATTATTAAATGATGAATTTGTTAGAGGTGTAGAGCAATTTTTAGCTTTTGTCTGTTGAGCATCCCGAATGTATGGACGGAACCAAAATTAAGTGTCCTTGTAATTTCGGTAAGTGTCGAAACCAAAATTATGAAGAGATTGACACGGTCAAATATCATTTGTCTTGTAAAGGTTTTATGTCGGGATATTATAACTCGGGTGCATTATGGTAAATTTGAAGCCTATATGACATCCGAAAATTCTAAGATTCAGCAAGTTTTAGGAAATTATTATATAGGCAAAGGTAGTTCTAGTAACCCCCAAAACCCATATCAAAGTTGAGCATCCCGAATGTATGGACGAAACCAAAATTAGGTGTCCTTGTAATTTCGGTAAGTGTCGAAACCAAAATTATGAAGAGATTGACACGGTCAAATATCATTTGTGCTCTGTAAAGGTTTTATGTCGAGATATTATAACTCGGGTGCATTATGGTAAATTTGAAGCCTATATGACATCCGAAAATTCTAAGATTCAGCAAGTTTTAGGAAATTATTATATAGGCAAAGGTAGTTCTAGTGACCCCCAAAACCCATATCAAAGTATGGTAATAGATGCGATCGGTTTATCCTTTGATTCGTCCAACACAGAGAAGGTTCCTAATCCTAGCGTCCAACACTTTTATGATATGTTGAATGTATTACGTAGAAAGATTTGACTCGGTTATCATAAACATTTGCAATTGTCGGCAGTTGCTCAAATGCTTAACCTAAAAGCCGAATATCATTTTTCGGAAAAGTGTTTCGATCGGTTATATGAGCCGATGAAGGAGTTAATACCGATTGATAACTCGCATGACATAAAACTTTTATAAAATAAGGAAACTGGTGAAGGGGATGGGTTTTATCGATGGAAAAAATTCATTGTTGTCAAAACGAGTGCATGATTTATTAGAAGGAAGATAATGAATTAGATAATTACGGATTTTGTCAACATCCTCGACATCGAAGTTCTTATCGAGGATCGGGAAAAGAAAAACTTGTTCCAAATAAAAAAATATACTACTTTCCTCTAACTCGCGTCCGTAATGATTGTATGCATCAAATGCAATAGCCGAGCACATGACGTGGCATGCCGAACATAGGGGAGATGATGTAGGAGTAATGCGTCATCCTTCTTATTCAATTGTATGGCAAAGTTTCAATCAAATTAATCTTTCTTTTGTAGCTGAAATAAGGAACATCCACTTAGGAGTGTGCACTCGATGGGTTCCAACCATTTGGCCAATCCGGTATGTAATATTCCTCGTGGTCGATCATTATGACTCCATACAATTTACCACCATGGATGTGTATGAAGGAAGAATATATGTTCCTAACAATGATTGTTTCGGGTCCAATAAATCTAAAATATAAGTTAGACGTTTACTTACAACCTTTCATATCCGAGCTTATCTAGTTATGGGAGGTGGGTGTAGTGATCTACGATGTGTACCGTAAGTAAAAATTTTTATTAAGAGCTGCAGTTATGTGGACTATCAATGACTTTTCCGTATATTCAATGCTATTCTGGTTGGAGTACCGTAGGAAAATAAGCTTATCCTTACCGTATGGAAAATTCGGATGCTTTCCCTTTCCAAATGAAAGGAAGACCTTCTAGTTTGACAACCATCAAAATTTTCTTCCTCATAATCATCCATATAGAAGAAACAAGAAAGAATTTATCACTAACAAAGTTGTTAAATCTGGTCCTCCTTCAATCCGATCTAGAATAGAGATGTTACATCTAGTCGAGCAAGTGGGAGTTATTGAAGGTGACAGAAGATGGTGCAGATGATCATCATAATAGAATCTCTCGTATATGTGAATGGAGAAAGCGAAGTATTTTTTGAGATTTGCCTTACTAGAGTACAAATGTCATCCGACATAATTTAGTTGTCGAGCATATTGAGAAAAATATTTTTGATAATATTTTTAACATAATTATAAATGTGTCGAGAAAAACTAAAGATAATGCCAACTCCAAGGAAGACTTAAAACTCTTCTATAAAAGGCCGAATTAGCAAAGGATGATGCATCCGGAAAGTATCCTAAAGCCGTATATACTCTATCAAAATAATAAAGAAGAAGATTGCTTGAATGGGTAAAATAACTCGGATTCCCCGATGGATATGTGTCTAATCTAGTTAGATGTGTTGATATGTAGTATGACAAACGTTATGGGATGAAAATTCATGACTTTCACGTCTTCATGTAGCATTTACTTCCAATTGCATTTCAAGAGTTTTTATCGAGAAATGTTTGGCAATCACTTACGAGTTAAGTTTATTTTTCAAGCAATTAACTTCTACAGATCATAAAGTAAGAGGATATGTTAAAACTTAATGATGACATACTCATCATTTTTGTGTAAACTAGAACGTATATTTCCGTCCAGCTTTTTTGACTCCATGGAACATCTTTCAATTCATCTTCCATATGAGGTATCTATTATGGGACTCGTGCAGATATCGATGGTCGTATCCATTTGAAAGGTATTGAAATTCAATTTAAAAGTCAAATTAAATAAATTTTTTACTTTCGAACATTAAAATTATTCATATTTGTAGGTATCTCGTGAAAACTAAAAAATAATATTAAGAATAAAGCCAAAGTGGAAGGTTCAATATGCAATGCATATTTGGTCGAAGAAACCTCTCTATTTTACTAACATTATTTTGAGCCTCATGTGGATACAAGGCATCGAAAAATATCTCGTAATTTTGAATTTAACAACAAAGAAGAAAACCATATTGAAGGGATGCTATCCATATTCAAGCAACCAAGTTGATCAATTAGTCAATATAAAATAAGAAAATTGACACAACTAGAACATAAAGTAGCACATTAATATATATTGTTGAATTGTGAAGAAGTCAAACCTTACATTGAGTGAGTTTGACCTATTTATTATATTTAATAATTCATATTAGAAAGATTATAGAGACTAACTTAATTTTTTTTAATAATTCTCTTATCTTTGTGGATTTCGTATCGAAATGTAACAGAACAATCCGTTCTCGTTCGAGAATGAAGTCGATAATTGAAAATGAGTTTGCCTCTTGGTTTAATCAATATGTAAGTATGATCATTTTATATGTTTAGTTTGTTGATAGCATTAACGGAAAGATAACTAAATTTAGAGGTGATTTTATGTTTAACTTACGGATATAAAATGCACAAGCAATTTACATGAAATATCGATTCTTGAAAGATCTCGCATAAAGTCCATTACTAACTATCAAATCGTATAACGATTATTTTGTTAATGGTTATAGGTTCCGCACACTTGAGGGATCTTCAAAACTTAGGTCTTTCAATAGTGATGTATGCGTTAAAAGAAGCAATTATAGCTCAACCGAGAGTGACTATCATGCGATGTTCATGGAAATTATTACAGTAGAGTATCCTGTATTACCAATCAAGAGAACAATATTGTTCAAATGTGATTGATTCGATCCCACTTCATAAGGAATAAGGGTTCATCCACACTACAAACTTGTGAATGTTAACCGTAAAAGAACTTTGAACAATTATAAACCATTTATCCTAGCATCACGAGTCGGCTCAAGTGTATTATATGGAGTACCCTAGCTTAAGATGCGACAATCAAGATTGGTGGGTCGTGTATAAGATCAAAGCTAGGTTTGTATTTGACTTTCCCGAATCATTAGCTATCATAAAATAAAATGCTAAACCATTTCAGCGAGACGATCCGAAAATTCAACATGAATTAATAGACTAAGTCGAGGACATCAATTTGTTGAATGATCCAAATGGATCGTTTGTAGGAATAGAAGTAGGTGTGGTCGATAAAGAAAATGAATGTCATAATGTTTCGGATGATGAAGATGATAGCTTAAACAATTATTATGATAATTCAAATTAAATTTTTATTTCATTTGTTGTATTAATAAGAAGTTATGTAATTTTTTCTCTTTATTAATTTTGATTTTTCTACCTTCGATAAATGTTTGTTATATATTTTGATTGTTTTATATCCATAACAAATGATGTATTTTAATTTATTTATCCACGAATGGACTCTAACAATATATTTGTTACATTTTATTTTTTTGTTTCATAGTAGATCATACAACAATGACTCGTGGTAATCATAGTTTGCATCGTCCCTTAGGAGGTGCTACTAGATCACGTTTCGATAATCATGGACGAGCATCACTATCAAAGGGTAGTCTATTAGGAACCCCTACCGGTATCGATCGTAGGTCTCCAACCGGCTCCCGTAGTCATAGAGCTAGCACATCCGCATCGACGAGTGTTTTTATTTCGACACTTGAGGTATCGATAGCGTATTGTTTCGTCGATTACGGATCTGTATGTATTTATTTTTTTAATATGTAATTTCATTAATAATTGCATTTAAAATATTTGTTTCATCTTTTTGTTGTTTGTTTGATAGATTGACTCCGGATAGTAGAGATTATTCTATGAAGATCTTTGAGATTTTTAAGGAACGGGTAGACAAGAAAAGATTGTCATGAAAGGATGTCCCCGACGTCACTAAAGACTTCTAATTTAGTGAATTTAAGGTAACGTATTTATAATTTTCTTTATAATTATAAAAAAAATTATCTCATTAAATAAGTTATATAAATTTTTTTGCTTGTGCAGAAATATTTTGAATGGGATGTCGACATCGATCCATTTATTAAAAGGGCAGGGGAGCATCTCGCTAGGAAACGCTATGCTAACTTCGTATACAATAATCAATTTGATGACGAAGCGACCTCAATTTTTGAGTCTTGAGGCATGGGATGTGTGGCAAGTTGATTTCAAGCAACCCGATCATGTGGCTAGTTTAGAGCAAGCATCATGTAATCGATTGTCGGAGATTGATGGTCCTGGTTTGGGTCCTTCTAAATATACGAGGGGCTCAATATCTTCACGAGAGCATGCACGTCGCTTGGTAAATTACACTCTTTATTATTATTTACTTATTTCATAACATTTCAATTTGGGACTTGTCATATTATTTGTAATGTTTTTTTTTTGTAGCCAATAGAATTAGGATGCCCACCAACGAGTTTTGAGTTGTTCCGGAAGACTCATAAGAAACATGATGGTTCATTCGTCGATATGTGCTCCCAACAAACACAGAGTTAGTATTTTTCAATTTCAAATATTAAATATGAAAATTTATTCTCAAATTTATTTTACTACCGTAACGATGATATTATTATTTTGTTAATGTAGGACCGTGTGGAGCAACGCTAATCAATGAGGAAGTTGAGGCTCGGAGGGAGGCGAGAATCTTAGAGCCGAAGTAGACCGAATGCTATATACCTGCAAGCTTTCGGGGAGAAGAAAAAAATTTTTTATGGTATTGGCACACAATCGATGCATTATGTGTCTCGGTCGAGTGGCAACGGCTCCTCCTTTGCAACATCGCAATACATGATCGATCTAGCTAGCAAACGGCTTCGGATGGACTACGAGGCCACTAAGGAAGAGGTGATTGAGCTTAAGGAGACTAGTTGTAACATGAAGTCTCACATACGATTCCATGGCATCCTTACTAATGTAGCTAGCATGGACATCCGAGTTATCCGTAGATCCGTCGATCATTTAGCAATCTATCGGTCCTTCCACTCAGCCTCCAGTTGATCCTCCGGGCGAGCACTCAACACGAGCATGAGGATGGGGATATGGGATTAGACAAGCGGGATGAGTGATGTAATATTTAGTCACTTTGTTTGTTTTGTTATTTTTCTATGAAACATATTCTAGAATAATTTTGTTAATGTTATTTTATTTTTCATTTACACATGATTAATTATGATTTTTTTATTATTAAATTTTATATTAATAATATAATATAATTTTCGAAAATGTCAACAAAAGTGAAGGAATTGCGAAAAAAATCGTTTTAGAAAATAACAACGGAATAGCAACGGATTGGTGACAATTTCATCTTTCGAAGTAATGACGGATTAGCGATGGAAATTAGGGATAGAATAGCAATGGATTTATTATCAAAATTAGCAACGAAAATTACCGATGGATTAGCGACGAATTTATTTTTAAAATTAGCGACGAATTAGGTACGAAAAAGGAGAGTCATCCCGTGTCAAGATTAGCGATGAATTTTTTGGGTTTAGTGATGGATGTTTCGTCACTAAATTTAGCGACGGACTTAATATTCCGTCACTAAAATTTATTGACCGACGAATTAGTGATGAAATTTTGACCATCGTATTTGCAATTAATGATGGAATTATTGTGTTTAGTGACGGAATGTTGCGTCGTTAAAATCAATTTTGTTTTTTAATGAATGGAGTGAAATTTTCTTCCAAAATTATTTTTTCATATAAATTTTAATTTCCCTTTATGGGATTTAAGCGGTCCTCAATTTCTCTTCTAAGATTTTGTTTGAATCAATTATCTCCTTGAACTTTCATCAAAATTTTAATTTTTTTCTTCTATCCATTAAACTAATACAATCGGTGATGTGGCATTTTTTTTCTATTTCAATTAACTTCTTAATTGTTTTTTAAAAATTCTTAATCAAGCTCACATTTCTCAATCGTATTAACTTTCTTGTTTTTTTTTCGTTAGGATTATATTTTTTTATAACTTATTTCTCAAATTTATAAACTTTTAAAATATAAAAAATATTGATAAAAATACAAAAAATTAAACTATAAACCTTGCATATTTTAATGAAATTTTAACGATCTAATACAAAGTTAACATAAGTTTTTGATATTAAAAAAAAATAAATAAATAACATAGTTTGGTATAATCTTTTAAGAAAAAGAAAAAAAGAAAAAAGAAAAAAGTGTTAATGGTATAAAAAATAAAGTTTAATACAATAAAATTAATAATACTAGTAAACTATATATATTTTTGTCCAAATTATAATCGAAATGTCCATATTAATCCTTTAAATCATATTAAAATTCATAAACTCAAACTAATAAATAATTATGTGGCATTTCATAATTGAAATAATACTACTTTCTATATTATTTTTTTTCAAATTTTGGTTAGACAAAGTTTAATATGAGTAATGGATAAATATTAGATTGAGATTTTTTTTTAATACTTAATTTAAAATGTCAAGTGAAATATAAAAAAAGATCATATCATTAATTATTTTAGTTCGATTGATGAAAGGAAGAATTGAAACTTAATTTGATGAAAGTTTAAGAAAATATATAATTAACACAAACGAAATATGAGTGGAGAAATCAAGAAACCACTTAAACCTTAGGCGAGATAAATTACAATTTACTCTTATTTTTCTATATCATTAGTGTCACATCATTGCTAATTTATCACGTCATCACTTAGTATTCATCACTTGAATGACATCTCATCAAATATTTTAACTTTATATACGCTAGCTATCTCTTTAAATTTTACTTGATTATTATAATTTTACGAGTC